CATCAGGAAAGTCTTTGACCACTGGGATGTCTTCAAGTTTTATTTTGCTAGCATTTATGTCAATTACATGAGCCAAATATGCACCACAACCCTTATTAAGTAATCTTCTAGCATCCATAGCAGATATCACACAAAATGGTAAAATTCTGCGCTGTCCAGTGAATATAACTTCAGGCTATCCTGGTTGTTTAAACACAACCTCCTTTCGAAAACAATCAACTGAGGCTCGATTTGCAGCTAAAAAGTCCATACCCAAAATAACATCAAAATCATGGATTCCTAAAGGTATTAAGTTTGCCTTCATTTCGCACTCATTTACCTTTACCCCACAGTCTCGGTATATACTGTTTGCTACCAGTAATTCACCTATCGGCGTACTCACTACCAAACAACTGTCTAAGGGTTCTAGCTTTTGATTCGCATATATAGCAAGTGCAAATGAAATAAAAGAATGTGTAGCTCCAGGATCAATTAAAATATGAGCATTTTTATCAAAGATAGATAACATACCCATAATAACATCTGGTGCCTCTTCTGCTGCCTGCTGCATTATAGCAAAAACATTTCCTTGCTTCTTAGGCCGTCCGGCTTGACCTTTCGATTGGGCACCACTACCACTTGCAATATTAGACTGAATTGCACTGCTTGCACCTGCTCTATTTGCTAAAGCATCTCCCTGTCCTTGCCTCGGTCTCATACTTCCAACACTCTGTTGAGGAAATACTCTCTGCGACCTGCCATCCTCCTGTACTAACATTGGGCAATCTCTCTTAAAGTGTCCACCTTGGCCGCAGTTATAACAAACACCAACCCCTTTGAACTTTAAACACTCGCCCAGGTGATTTCTTCCACATAACTAGCAATAAGGAATTCTAGAATTGCTAGAACTCTCACCCTGTCTGGCAGTAAATATTCTCGGAGAAGAACTTTGAGTATAAGGATGGTTAGTCATTGGTGGTTGTACAGCACTGTAACTAAACCTGGAACCTTGACTTCCCTGCGATCTAGTCTTGAAATGACTCGGTCTGGACACACCAAGGCGAAATCCTCTACTGTCCCTCTGTGGTGGTCTATAGCTAGAAGTACCCACCGATGTCTGACTAACGCTTCCTCTAAATTGTGTATATTCTCTACCAATTGGTCTTTTAGAAATGCTCTTCTCTACTCTTAAGGCCGATTCAACCAATTTGCCAAATTCA